AACTTTCCGAATGCGATTAATAGGGTGGCCTGGCTAGCTGTCACACAACCAAAAGATAAAGGGGGCCTTGGGATTTTGGACCCGACAATTCAGGTCAAAGCACTAGCCATCCAATGGATAAGGCGTTTACTTTTCACCCCTGGTCTCCCTTGGCGAGCCCTGGCTCATGATCAGATAGCCCGCATAGCCTCGCAGGCCTCCCCGGAGGTCAACCCCCTCACCTGGCTAGAGAATCGTTCCTGGACCATACTGCGTCGATCCAGGTCCCAAGCGAACACAGGTCGGGCGGCTGCAAGATGGGACTTGATCAGGGATGATTTCTGGATCAAAACCTTGCGGGCGTGGCGCCAGCTACCCCTGTCGGGCAGACGTTCACCAGACCGGTGGGAGGAAGTGGCAAGACAACCACTTTTTGGGAACAAACGTATTACAGACCGGTTCGGGAGGGTTTATTATAGCTTGACCCCCCCGTGGAACAGCTAGGTCAAGAGAGGGGTGATAAGAATCCGGGATTTATGGAAGGCAGAAGCCAAAACTTGGAAAACGATCGAACAACTGAAAACCTCCCTGAGATATTGTCACAACATCGAAAAAAACCTGGAAGAACTGATTTTTGCAATCCCTTTAGATTGGGTACGTATTCTCCGAAAAGGTCCGCATTTACAAAAGGGTGACTGGGTAGCAATTCCTGAAGATACCGAAAGGGTGGGGAGTGTGGTGGTGGTTGGTACCCATGACGTGCTAGTGAACCTCTTCCACCACGAAAAAGACAACCGGCTCAGGACGTATCATCCGGATAGCCTGAGATGGTGGAAGAAGATTGACCTGCACCGAATCCGGGTGCTCCGGACGCAAGAAGATTGGACAGTGTTCCGCCCGGAAACCCCGCTCGCAGAACTCCCTTTCCTCCTGGAGGAGTGGCAATTGACCTCAAAGAGCAGATTGCGGCCGGATGCAAACAAAAAATTATTCACTCTCTCGATAAAAGCTACATACCACCTGCTATGACCAAAACTCAATTTAAAGGAGACGGTGAGGGAACGGTGGATGTCTCACTTGACCGTGGGGCGGGAGGCAGTCAACCCCATTCGATGGTTTACGACCACTAAGGCCAAACCTGCAAAATTGGCCTCCTTGCAATGGCAGATCGGACACCGCTGCCTCCCAACAAACAACTGGTTAATAGACCGAACGTATTTGGAACAGAAGGGTTTATCACTACCATGGTGCAAATCCTACCTGGCGTCCTACCCCCCCCCGCAAGATTCCCGAGGCTATAGAACACATTTTCATGCAATGCCCGGGGGTGATTCTTACCTGGCGCTGGTGGGACAGGGTCTGGAGACAACTGGACACTGAATCCCAGAGAGCACTTTTATGTGAAACTTGGTCCTGCCCTACGCACAATACATTTGAAGATAACATGTTTAAAGACAGGGAGGAGGGCAATCATTTGGGCACTTTGAAGAAAACGGTGTATTCACGCCATCGAAGGTGTCAGAATAGAGGGAGAAGAAGTTACTGAAATGATTAAACAATACGTCCAAGATGAACTGCGGACTCATTGGTTGAAGCCTTGAAGATAAAATCACAACTAGACAGCCTTCGCACAGAAAAGGACATATCCTAAGTTATCAAACAATTCTCATGGGGCTGGTTGGGGACTGAGCAAGGGGGTTGGATAACTTATATTCGATGGAAAGAAGAGGCCCCCTCGGAGCACAGTCAAGGTGAGCCGAGAAGGGATTACAGCCTTTGTTTCAAGGATTGGATCAGGACAGACCCTGCAATACCGCTGCGCTCCTCCTCGGAATTCCCTGACCCCTTCCCACCCCACAGACTCTCAATGGTGCATTTGCAATGGTATGGAGCTGAATAAATTCATGCCAAGGAGGTAGCAGCAGCCTTCAAGCAGCAACAAGCCCAGGAAGTGCAATTGAGATAAAGTGTGAGGAAGCAGCGAAGGGAAGCAGAAATTGGATCTTAGCAACAGTAGTCAACAACCTGCACAGTTAATCCTCTGGACACCAGAGCAATTATTGCTGGCAGGCCTTTTCTCAGTACACCTTCATAAGAGACAACAGATCGTCATACTGTGGGAATGGGGGAGGGAGGAACTAGGGTATAGCAAGGTATCTGGTACCGGGTTCAGGGTGAAGAGGTCCCCCCTTCCTTCTGATATCCTGCCCAGTCAATCCCCTGGACCCCAGGTCAATCAATGCAGGCAGGAACACCCCACAACAATTTTTCTGCTCTACTTCAATTTCATTTGTATAAGGGATGCTGGACCCACTTTCCAGCAGGTGATGCTCCCCACCAATAGATGGAGCCTCTCCCCAGGTGTTAGTGGCGTCTGCTCTTATCAGCACCACTAACACTGGGGGGGGCGAATTAAAAAAAAAAAAAAAAAAAAAGTTTGGATCTCATCAAACATCCACACAACCGTATCGAGTGAGAAGAGGGGCATGTCTGTGCTACTTAGGAATAACCAAAGCAAACATGTCCAACAAGGATACAATCATGACACTTTGCTTATCGCAATTGTAAACAAGTATGGATCTCAACACACTCCACATATAGGGCGAGCAGATGTGCATGCCTATCATTACACTAAGTCTTCTAAAGACGTCCGGATCTCATCAAACATCCAAACAATCGTCTCGAGCGAGAGAATGAGCATGCCTGCACAACTTAGGGATAACCTAAAGAAATAATATATTATCCAACAAGGATTCAATCATGACACCCTGCTCATCACATTTATCAAGTTTAACAAGTAAGGATCTCAATACACTTTCACATATCATTACATTAAATCTTATAAAGAAGTTCGGATCTCACCAAACATCCAAACAATTGTCTCGGGCGAGAGGATGGACATGCCTGTGTAACTTTGGGATAACCTAAAAATATATATTCTCCAACAAGAATTCAATCGTGACACCTTGCTCATCACATTTGTAAAGTTTAAGAAGTATGGACCTCAACACACTTCCGCATTTCGGGCGAGTGGATGGGCGTGCCTATAATTGCACTTCCAAATAAAGTTTAAGAAGTATGAATCTCAGTACACTTCCGCATTTCGGGCGAGTGGATGAGTGTGCCTATAATTGCACTTCCAAATAAGTCTGGATCTCATCAAACATACAAAAAAAATGTCTCGGGGGAGAGGATGGGCATGCGTTTGTTGCTCAGGCTACAACCAAAAATAAATTCATTAGAAATAGGACATAATGTATATAATGTCATATTTTAAGTTTTAATAAATAACATGTTATACGTGGCCAGAAACACAGTTCAGATTCAAACTCGTCTTGATGGCTATGGCGCAAGGTGCCAGACAAAGATTTTCACCCGATCAAGTGTATCCTCCAACAACTTGTTCGCACACACACTCACCCACTCACGGATCACCCTAGATGTCCCTCATACATACACACACACTACACACAGACTAACTCCCTACCACTAACCTATTGGCAGTTATGGCTTCTGTCTTCTTCCTCCTACTAACTAGCGGCTATGGCGACATCTTCCTCCTTTTAGCCCTCTTCTCCTACGGGCACCTGCAGACCTTCGTACACAAGATGCTCCTACAGCGGTTCCGCACGGCTCACAGACAAAATGAATGAATGACTTGACGCTGCCTCTATATTTATACTTCGGATCGTCGTTGGTCTGCCCTTGGACCCTGGGCTCGGGGCGCACACATTCCCACATGGTACTTGCTGACTAGACAAGGTGCAACCTGGGACTGGGTACCGCTGACTAGGCTAGGTAGGACTGGGACTGCCCTTTGTTGACTATACTAGGATTGCCCCTTGCTGACTCAGACACGGACTGACTCCTAAGAAATACAAAGGGTAAACCTTCAACTTCTAGAAGGTCATGGACTTGACCTTTCAGAACCGTGGTAAATACGACCTATACTACTACTATAACCTCTAAAACTCAGACCTACAGTTCAAGACCCAGCGCCCGCACTATATACAACAACTGAACATACGACTTTCAGAACTCAAATCGCAGGTTCAAACACACACGAGTCAACAAGTACTGTACATGGGTAAAAGGGAGGTTTAGGGATCGAGCCCTGGGTGCTGCATCTGTTGAAACGGTTTCACCCAGTTGACCTGACATTGCGGTCACAGAGATTTGATCCCTAGACCTGTGCCACAACCCTGTACATTGAACCCGTGTGCTGAGTGAGATTCGATCCTTAGACCTGTTCCACATCCTAGATTAGTTTGTAGTTTGGGCAGTAGGACTTGATCCCTAGGTCGGTAGATTAGCTGCTAGATCTGTTACCATTAGGCCTAGGAAGGTCTGTTCTAGAAGTGTCTATCTGGGTCTACTGAGGCCTAGAGTCTGTCTGTAAGTCTGTAGGCTCCAGAAGGTCGTAGGTCCCTGTAGGCCAGTCCAGTCAGCAAGTACCAGGGGTAGGGGCTGCACGTGGGGAAGGTTCTGGACCCCGCCGTGGGTTCCACACGTTTTGGCCGAGAAGATCAAACGTCTGGAAGCTTCCCAGGGCCACACATTCTGACCCAGGCCCACACGTTTTAAGGCAGGCCCGGGTACCTCTGAAGAAGTATAAATAAAGAGGCAGGAGGTGGCAGAGGACTCGAAGCAGGAGGTGGTGTTGAACTCGAAGCAGGAGGTCGTGCCGAACTCGGAGCAGGTGGTGGTGCCGAACTCGGAGCTGGAGGTGGTGCCGAACTCGGAGCAGCAAGTGGGGGAATGGACGAGTGACTCGGAGTGAGGCCTCGTCGTGGTAGGAGTCGTGATCCTCGCCTCTGCGCGGCTACTACGTGCATGAGATCCCCCCACTCTCTCATCGCGCACATCATCTGTTGAAGCCACCTCCCCGAAAGGGCCCCAACAATCCTCGTCTCCCCACATCATCTCCATCTCATCAAAGTCTGTGCCGTGTATGTCCTCGTCTCCGCATCCTTGGCATCCTCATGCGTCTCGTCGATCTCACGAGGAATGGGCAGCGCAGGGTCATCTGTTGCCTGGGGTGTCCGCTCGTCACCAGAGTCATCGTCCCTGGGGTACGGACGGAAAATGCAAGCACGTCGCTAAAAAACAACAGTGGCAGGGGGTGGTGCGGAAGCACCGATGGGATCGCTTGTAACAAGCGCAACCTGCTGGGCAATCTCCTCCTGCGTCATCCCCTTGCGCGTGCCCGTGCGCACCGGCTCCAGCTCAATGCCTGCCTGACAATCGAGCATGCCCTCGTCCCGCTGCCATGGCATCACATAACTGCATCCCGCCCGCCGATACTCCGTCAACTGCACATTTGCGGTGATCTCAACGAGCTGCACAACCATCTTGAAGGCCAACTGGTTGCGCTTCTTCGCGTGGATGCCCTCGCAGACCGCCCAGTTCCTCTCCGTTGGAGAGGCGCATGACCACATGTGCATCACACGAAGAGCGCACTGCTGCAACTCAGACGCGCCAGCCCCGTACTTGGACCACCAAGACGCGCACTCGATCGTCTCGGCGTCACCGCTACACGGGCGACCACGAGCACGCCCCTTTGCCCCGCCCCAATCACCGAACCTGCCCTGCTGCATGTGGAAGTCCTCGAGTTGCCGACAGACAACGATGTAATCCACAACGTCCAACTCGAAACCCGTCTGCGTCAAAATGTACCTCTTGGCTTGCCTCACAAGCCAAGCATGGTAAGCCTCCACCTTGCCAGAAAAGTAACGAACATGTCGCCTGCGCGGGTTTAGTAAAAACCCAGCGCAGTGAGCCGGCTCAAGCATATGATGTGTGCAGCCCTGCACACGCTTGATGATCCGGTCCGTGAAGGACTGACTCAAAGGATCACATGCGTCCTTCACACGGTGGACAAGATCCTGTGCCCACTCGACCATGAGCGACATGAACTGCCCTCCACGATCCATCCGCCTAAGCAACTGCATGACGGGCTCCATAATATGGACGATGGTGGCAACCCTCTGCCACCATGGATCCCATCTGATCTGTCGGCGCACCCAACGCGCCATCTGGCACACATCGGCAACCACGGGATGGAAGCAAATGCCCGCGAGTCGTCCCCTCGCATCATGCCCTGCAAAGTGTCCTGCTGAGCCAACAGCCACTCCAGCATGGAGTAAACAGACGTGAACCGCGTCTCGCAGGAAAGAATAAGCCCCTTGTTGGGGATGCGCCTCCTAAAAAAAGAAAGGGCGGCCTGGTGGGTTTTGAAAAATACCACCAGCACACAAGCGCGTGTGATTGCGTCCACAAACGCGTCGCAACTCGTCCCCATGTCTGACAACAATTTGTTGCAGACATGGACGGAGCACGGGAGCCATGTGATCCTCCTCAATGCAAGAGGCATGGTCGACGAGGCCAACGCCCTTGCAGCCCCCACGTATGCTGAAGCGGAGTCAGTGCAAATCGCATTGACCCGCTGCGGCCCACCGAACCTGAACTTGTGGAAGATGGTGACCCATCTCCGAAGGACGTGCACTTCATCGTCCGGCTCCCCCTCTCGATTGATCGTCATGTACATGATGACCCCTCGTGAGCCTGCGGCAAGGAAATTCACGATCGGTCTCCCGTCTCGTGATTTCCTCCCGTCAAAGAGAATGGTGGCACCAGTCACCCAGAATGGTTGCCTCACCTCCTCCAACTCCTCCGCCAACTCCGCACGGTGGGTTTCCACCGCCTGCATGCTGGCAATCTCGCTGTGGCTAGTGAGCACATCGCGCGGCAAACTGCCAGGTTGCTCAGGGAGCACCTGTTGATATGCCTTCCATGCCTCGTTGCGGAGGGCATTGAAGGCCACCCCGCTGGAATAAAGACAGCGGAGGAAGGTCTTCTTGTGGCGAGCAACCCACTCGCCACCATAGACCTCAGTCACCTTCTGCTGCCGGAGCCTCTTTCCAGCGTGGGTAGCAGCCGGATCAGCTCCTCCTTCCTTCCTCTTCGAAGGACCATCCTCCGTTACACCAGTTGGTGCAGGCAGCGCCCCCTTGGCTGCTCGCCGCAGCCAGTCCACCATCCTCTTCCCAGTGCCTGGATGGAACTCCGGCGCGTCCTCTGTGCCGGGAGTCCCTCCTCGCCTGGGCCACATGCCTCGTCATCGATGTGGATCACACCCTCGTCCATGTCCCTGTTTCCACCACCCAATGCGTGGTCGGACGCACCCTGGCCACCATCTCCCATGCCCCCTCCCTCCGCCGGATGCTGCCCCGCCTCTCCTCCCCTTGCACCACCGGCCTGGGGCGCATCGAGTCCACGCTCTGCGGCATACCTGGCAACCCTCTCCATGTGGTCAGATTCGAACTTTTGTTGAGTCTGTCGTGCAATCTCGTACAGTGCCTCGTCGCTGACGTCCTTGCAGTAGTTCGTCTGGTTGAAATGTCTCGTGGCCTGGTACTGAGTACCCTGGAACACGTTGTTGCAGAATGTGCAACGCAGCATCATGACCCCCTTGTTGTCGACCTTCTTGCCGACAACAAGGTACCGATACACAGGGGAGCGACCACTGAATGTCTCCTGCACATGTTCCGCAGCGGTGTCATGCCGCCGCCGCTGCGCCCTCCCCATGACAATTGTCCCTTGTCACGCTCTGAAGCGTCGACCCGGAGTCGTAGGACGCCTCAATAACCTGCACGAATAGCCACGCGTCCACCCACCGACGCCGGCCCTCTCCGCATGGGCCCTCCTCACGTCGTACGGCGCCCAATGCCGGCCCTCCCCAACCACAAAGCCACACGTACACCCACCGACTGCGGCCCGGCCCGCACGGGCCTTCGTCAATGCCTTCGCCCCCCGCCGCACAACGTGAAACGACCCGAGGCCACAACGTTAAATCTCGTTTAACGTCGTGGAATCACGTTCAACGCTGTGGAATTAAAAATTCAATAGCGTTGTTCACGACCGGAGTCCGCGAGGGGCGCCGTCCGCTGCCCGCGAAGCTGCCGCCGGCCCGCGACTCTCTGTCGTCGTCATCATCGTCATCGTCGTCGTTCCCTCTCTCTCGTCGTCGTCGTCGTCTCTCTCTCTCTCTCTCTCTCTCTCTCTCTCTCTCTCTCTCTCTCTCTCTCGCCCTCGGTCATCGTCGTCGTCTCTCTCTCTCTCTCTCTCTCTCTCTCTCTCTCTCTCTCTCTCTCTCTCTCTC